AAGAGGAAATGGATTCCCAACATCTGTGCCTCTGTCTCCACCACTCATCCCTGTGCTGTCTGTCTTGTAGAAAGTGCTTAAGATAGTTTCAATCTTTCACCTTTTCATCTTTTCCCCCCCCCCCCCCCCCCCCCCCAAAAAAAAGACTTACTATGAGATCTATAAAAAAAACCTTTATGATCTATCCATCTATCATTTCTCTCTCAACACTGCTGAGTTACTGTGGGATAGGGAATTCTAATCATGTTAAACGCTGAAAAGTACAACTACAACAAATACAGTTTTATCTTATCTCCTGGTCAGAGATCATGTGGATAAAGGACGACACTGGGTGTTATTTGGTTGCAGCTGATTGTGTAGCTGAGTGTGTTACCGACTCACCTTTTACACTTTTCCTGTTAACATCTGCACCTTTCTCCAGCAGGTACTGCGCTATCTCCTTGTGTCCCTTGTAGCAGGAAATCATAAGACACGTGTGGCCATGTCTGTTGGCCACCTCCAGGTCAGCTTTGTGCTCCACCAGGTATTTCACAATGTCCAGGTGGCCGTCAAAGCAGGCCGCCCTCAAGGGTGTTGAGTTGGTCAGGGTTGTGCTGTTGACAGAAGCACCGTGGCCCAACAGGGACTGGACCACCTTCAGGTGACCCGCTGCCGAGGCGGCCCAGAGAGGGGGCGCTCCCTCGATGGTCTCTCCGTCAAAGTTCACCGACCCACCGACCTCAACAGGAGCGCTACAGCACTCCAGCAGATACTCTACCAAGTCCAGGTGGCCGTAACGGGAGGCCATCAGGAGCGGCGTGGCCCCATTTGTCTTTTCGCCCATCAACTTGGTCACCTCGTGTCCATCTTTGTTCTCCAACAGTTTCTGAAGAAGCCGGAGCTTACCGTCCCTGGCTGCGTTAAATACTGCCGTCTTTAGATCCATTTCTAAGAATTCGTTTCACTGATAAATAAAAAGGCAACGATGTCCGTGAAACAATGGGTGAGCGATAACTCGAGCTGTAACGTTGCTGTGGACAGATGGAGCTCGGGACCCTTTGTTTACAAGCTCCGACTTTCTAGCTAACGGTAGCGTTTTGGTTAGGAGCCCACGGCAATTCGCGTCTTTCTTGACTTTAGCTTTCAAAAACTGGCATCACCAGTTTATTTAACTCCATTTACTGGCATTACCAGTTTACTTAACTCTATGAATAACTCGGGCGTTTGAGCCGACCCTTGGTCCAGTAAGACATTTGTCGCCGAGCTAGCAAGGGGGCTAGTCAACTTCCTTGATCAATTCAGCTAACCGACTAGCTCCGCTTAGCTTAACCACTTAACACCTCTATTGACCGTTCAACCAATACTCATCCACTGACATTTCTTCCCCTCCAAGAAGCTCTCCTCCATTACATCTGCTCCCTGCGCTTGTCATTGTTCCACAACATACTCCTGAGACGTTATTTATATTCGCTTCCCGAGGGCCGAAACGTAGAAATCCACCCCCACCCGTTACGCCGTGCTGCCGCTAGCTTAGCCTGGGAAAACGACGTTCGGTCTCTCGTTCTGGGGATATCCCCGATATCCAGGCGGTTTTCTTTTACACACACGTCGAGAAACAAACGACAGACGTTACCCCCGAAAACAGCGAATAACAGTCGTCCATGTAGCCACTCAGCGAGCTGGCACGACAATAATCTCGGCGAAGGGGAAGGTAAATAAGGGAGGGCTATCCACCCACGGCTCGACCGGATGATCACGACTCAGTTTCTGTCAAATCGCAAGCGCAACGCAGTCTTTTTTCTCGACTACAGCTAATGATTGACGTATGAAAGACCAATCACAGAGCTGGTAGACTGTTACGTAGCCAATTAAAGACAACAAAATCACATAAGAGGTCCCCCTCAAGCGCCTGGGACTTTTCTTTATGGAAAAATTACCTACCATGGAAAGAGGACTAATGTCAAACAAAAGCTTAGAATGTTGCCTCTGTATCTTCCGGGTTGAGAGATATTGTGAGGTAATGTATAGCTACAAAGATGACTGTTATGGCCTTGATTATATCACTCCCTACAGGTTAAAAGGATGAAAAGCATGACCAAACGATTCATCCAGTAATTTCATTCCTCAATGAAAACAGTGTTTATTAATAATGGTTAAATAAATGCATACGCCAACATTTTAACAGAAGGTTTATTCAGCCATCCTTGTAAATTCCCAGAATGCCTCAAAGCTGAATTTGTGTCCAAAAATGACTCCCCCCCAACAAAAAAAGTACAAACCTACAGGGAAAGCCAACACTGCACCACCTACAAGAACTGACACATATAACAGGAGGAAAGCATAACAAGGGAAGCAAAGCCAAACCAGAAACAATAAATGAAAACACAAAACTGAAAAATATTGAGTGAATAATAATAATGGTGTTAGTTGTTTTTAATCAGTTAACACAGAATCTCTGGAATCAGTTCTGACCATGTTACACAGATCAACAGGAGTTAACTATAAAGCCAAAAAAGTGTTACATTTTTGGTATCTTTCAGTGGATTAGGTGTAGAAAATTCCCACATCACAACAGTGATGTCTTCTTGTCTTTCCCAGGTGACCGGATGTCATTCACATTCATTGATGTTAGATACTGTAAAAATACTAAAGGTGAACTTTAGTACATGGCTTCATTAAACTCATGTTTCAGCCATTCCTGTGTATAAGAGCTAAATCAATGAATAGTGAGACAGAATGTAGTGCTTCCTGCAGGCTTAAATGTTTAATGAAAATCCTTTAAAAATGTGCATGTTCAGATCTTTTCTTTAAGACTGCTAATTGAATCAGATGATGATAAATTGACAAATAATAGTTTAAAAAGTAAGAGCCAGTCATTGGATATAGACATTACATTTACTTTGTCTAAATCTTTCTTCCTGTTTCTGTTGGAAATGTAGTAGCTGGTCAGGGGATGTAATTTTTTCAAATTACAACTACAACTCAAAGTTACTAGAATTATCTTATATTTTCGCAAAACAACATGAATTTTACAACAGTGCTGTATAAAACCAAGAGGACAATATCAGCAAACAAGATAAATAAGTTGTTGCACTTTAAAAAGCAAAGGCAGCACTAGATACAGGGGACCAGTGAAAGACAAAGGTTTTATAATAAGTTGGTGCACACACAAAATGTGTCATTTTCAAACACAAGAATAATATTAGGGTTCCCCCCCACACACTTAGTCACCTACCTGTAATTTTACCATTTCAGGCGATAATTCACCTAGGTGTGGTCAAACTGAAGCATTACGTTAACCTGTTGTGTAAAATTTTTTTTTGAAGAACTGCAGTCACTAAAGGAAGACCATCAGTCAATCAACCAAAATGCAAGCTTTTGTTCAACTGCTTCAAGCTAATGTTAAATTAAAGGATGACTTCCTCTCTGTACAGAATACTCCCTTGAAATAACTCATCTAAAATGACAGCTGATAAAAGCAACCACAATAACTAGTCTTTCCCACTAAATACATTGAGGTTTAATTACAAAGAAAAAAAACAGATGTTTTTTCATAACCAAATGCCATCTTTACCTTGCCAGTGTGTTTTTTGTGACCAAATGCTCTGCAGATAAGGAAAGAAATCCATACCATGCTTACATTATGAGTACATTTAGTTACAACTTCCACTCCCTTGGTTATTTCAGTGCACAATTGGGGCCAGAAAATGCATCAGATCTTGGAGAGAGGGGTATGGGATGATGGGGCCCGAGGACACAAATAAAATAAGAACACATTTAGAAATTATTTCAAATATTCAAAGTACATAGGGTTTGCTTTAACTATATGACCAGCTGCTTGAACTGCCTCAAACACAGATAGTTCCAAGCAACACCATCAAGCCTTTCTTCAGGTTTTTTCTTTAACCCCCCCAAAAACATTTTATACACACAACCTTTTTCCTCAAGACTCAGTTGCATAAAGTTTATAAGAACAGCAGTGCTGAATGGGGATGACATGTCAGATTGTATGACCTGGCAGTTTGATATGATCGAATTTCAGATCTGCACTGCTGTTCTAAACAACTCTATGCACACAAGCCCAGGTAAAAATAAAGAAAGGGATGAATCAGATCCTAGAGCTCAGAGACTGTTATGATCCGACACGTGTTGTAGTGGTTTTCTTGTCAGAAAAGAAGCTTCTCAGCAGGACCACTTGGCTAATGCTGACCACCAGAAGGATAATGGCTTCTCCAATGGACCAGAACGCAACACGGGTGTTGAGGTCCTCTGCCCGACTGCGTCCCTGAGCCTCACGGAGGCGGAAATGTGTCTGGTAGTCGATGACTGATTTCAGGGCCTCATGGATGGACACACAAGCTGATTCCATCTGGAAATGGTAATAAAAAAATAAAAAAATAAATATAAAAAAAAAAGGAAGTCAAGACCAATGTAAGATATTTAGACTGTGGCTAGAAATTAATGACTATAATATGACAACTAACAATAAGACAGTTTTAAAGATCACTTTGATTCATAAATTAGAGGGCACCTGGGGAGCAAAAGAACTCCAATGTTAAAAAATCTTCCAACTTGTAATAGCAACTAGCAATGTAAATTTAAGTTGGGAATCAAGTGTCTAATTAGTTTAAGGTCAAAGTTGCGCGGAGCTAAGCAGGGTCACAAAACAACATGAACAGAACAGGAACTGCAAAGATATGAGTTGTCCTGCCTGCAAAATGAGCCTGTAGTTTCTCCGTTAAGTAAAATAAAACAAATTTGGGCTTCTGTCAGTATTACATAAGGTGTTACATTTCCTCCCTCAAACACAAACATGCAAACACATAAGAATGCATGCCTACACACAAACTTACCTGGGTGAGAGCAGTGACTCTGTTCTCATTGGGGAAGAGTGGAGGATCATCACCGACCTGGAAGTCAAAATAAACCGTCTTGTGCGTGAAAGTGGAGAACTCATTACTGAAGCAGAACTTGTAGGTGCCATTCTTGGATGCTGTGAAGGTAAAGCTGTCATATTGCTTCTTCATCTCCTTGTAGAGTGTATTTCCATCTGGGTCCTCCAAACGACAGTCCACATCATAATGGCCACCGGTCACCACCTGGGAAACCATAATGAAAGAAACCATTTATTCAGTGACACAATGACACTATTTTTACATTATACACTCTGTCAAGCAGTACACAGACAATCAAGAGGGTGAACAATATGGACAAAACCTGTGTCTTGACTACTACATCCAAGTAGCTGAAATGTAAAATGTCAAATTGGATCATATCATCAAGAATCATGGTCTTGAGTATGTCATATCACAAACTGTGATAGATTTTTGTCATAATTAATCATGAAAACTGTAGATAATATATGAATATAATGATGTCACAATGCAATTGATGAAGAGACTATAAACAATAAAATTAATAATGAATTATCATTCAGTGATAGGGAAAGACAACACAGCGGCCTGTGGCTGTCTGCTGGTATCTAGATTCAATTAGGACAAATCTAATGAAAGCTTAAGGTTCAGCCAGTTTTAATATTTGCATTGAAATTATTGTTTGGCACCATCAGCTCATTACAGAAAATAAAAAATGGGGGAAAACTGTACAACTGTGCTGTAAGAACACTGGCAGGCCTATAGGCAGCAGGTTATCTTTAACAAAACAATGAACTCAATAAAAAACACACTTGCACTGCACATGCACGCTCACAGATTTATATGAAAATATTTGTAAATCATATAGTTTAGGTTATGATAAAATATAAATAAACTTACTTAGTCGTGCAGCATTCAGATTTAGATTATGTTGCCCATAGAGAGAAATTTTACCAACAGCCGTTTATACATTGAGCCTTAAGCTTGTAGTTATAGTAGTAGTAATAATATGTACCCCATGCACTTATTAATGCAGTATGACCATCAATAAATGCAGTAGGAAAAACGTACCAAACTCGTGTGTGTGTGTAAAGGATATATAGCTATTTCTAGCATTCGGGTGTTAATCTTTGAAGGCTGATATTGTTTCCAAGAGAACAGCTTGGACTCTATTCAACACTTTGAAAATGACCACTTGACGATTACTAAGGCTAAAAAGAAGACCACGCACCTGAAACTCCAGTGTGCACTTAGTGCCGATGATGATGTCCTCGTAGAAACACTGCTTGGCGTTGTCTGGCAGCTCAAAAGTTAGCTCGGAGCCCAGCACCCACCCACAGAGCAGCTGGGCCCACAGCACCTGCAGCAGCACCCGAAAGGATCCGTACATCTTAAAGACTGAGAGCCAACACTTCCAGAGTAAAAACGTGAGCCGACCTGCCGAAATAAACACGAGCAGACATGACAATGAAATGAAGACCGAGGGTGGTTAAAAGACAAAAATGGTGACAAAGCAAACCCGGACATTGATATGAGCGAGAAGTTGTTAGCTTAGAGCTAACTAGCTAGCTCGCTACTCTTTCTATTTTAGAGACAAAGAGCCACTTGGGATTTGGCACATTTTCTTATAGCTAGTGTATTCGTATGTTATGGGCGCATTGATGGTCATACAAGTTAAAGTAAACTCAAACATTAACATTTCTTAATTCATTATTTTGTCTCAGTCAGCATTAGCTACTCACCTCAAAACGTTCACCCGGATGCGACTAATTCTATGTAACGTATTAGAAACGTGACACGGCATTGGCGGTCATCTCTATAGGCCCACCCCTTGCTTTATCTGTCATTGGTCAAAAAAAGAAGAGGCGGGGCGCTTGTGAGATCACGTGGGCCACGTCCACACAGGAAGCGTATGTTCCCGTTTTCAATACACTCCAACGTGGCTGATACTTTAGGTGTAATACTACACTTGGATATTATGTTGTGTTCGGCAGTTTACACGATACAATACGCTTACGTAAAAGGCTGGAATATAGGAAACGCATTTGAATCACCAAAAATTTGTATACGTGTGGCTGTAACATGTACATAATCATAATCATCATCATTCATTATATAGCATCCAGTTATATTATAGTTATATTACAATTTCTGGCAATGCCCAAGATTATGTAAGGACCACTTCTTGTACTAATGACATCTATATAAAGGCATGTGCTCCTAAAAATGATGGTTCTATTAGGTAGCTTTTTTATCTTGAGACCCATGAGATATTTGTACATATGAGAAAAATTGTGTGTCTTCATACATTTAGTATATACTAATGAAATCTGTGTAGAGCATGAAGTGTATAGCACAATCAATGGCATAGCACAACAAGTTGCGCCCTGTACATATGCAGCCTCAGCAGGCCCTCCTTCCACTTCTAATACATCCATTGTCACAATTGAACAAATAACTGAATCAGCAAATACACAAACAGTATTAGTGAAGTGAAAGTCTGATTAATCTGAATTCTTTGCATAATTCAAAGGTGCAGAGCCATTTCACTGTAGCTATACTACCCTAAAGGAGGATTGCTGTGTTTCATAAAAAAGACAACAATTAACCATTCTGAAATTCACTGCTACACCCCAGAGTACAGTAGCAAAATACCCAACATTAATCCTTATAAAGTGCCTGATTCACAGTACACTATGGGATTATTGTGAACAACTGAGAATAGTGCCTTCCAGCAGCAGTGATAAAAGACCTGCTGTAGTGGACAACCATCATTTTCCCTCTCTCATCTCTTCCATGGAGTCTATTAAACAACCTAGGATAGCTGTCCTAAAATGCCACTAGTCCAGCAGACTACTGCATAGAAAATGGTTGCTGCCTCCACAGAGTCATTGAAAATATGAATAGTCAGACTTCTCCACCTTGTTGTTGGAGTTGGACAACCAGTTGTTTGTAAGAATGGACAGCTAGCTTGTTATTGTATTGATTACTTTGTCCATAAAAGTGAGTTGGGGATTTTTTTTTTTTCATATCAAGTTGTGGTCCTACTAAGTTGTAAGTTGTTAACTATTATCCTGTTGCAATTAGAGGAACAACATCTTTGGACACTTCATATGGCCAGAGTATACACTGTAGTTGCTTAGAGGTCAAACTAATATGTGCCCTCAATTAAAGCTTACTTTTTCTGCCCTTTTTGTCTGAATATCTCTTAGTGCAACTCTGTGTAGTGTAAATGCCACAATAGCTCTATTTTGAGGGTCAATGAATTTACTTCCCTAGTGCAACAGGGGAAACCCTTGGCAGGAGGGCACCTACAGATGTATTAATATATTGTAATAAATTATTCTCATGGCACCCCATCCCTGCATGATACGCGCTGACTGTGTGCTCTTGACAATTGTGAAAGCACAACTGACCCCAATACAAAGTCTCGCGTGAAAATGCAAAGCGAGATCACAGTGTAGGGAGGGCTGCATGGGGAGCTGGAGAGACAAAACAAAAGCCACACATTTCAGCCAACAGGCGCTGGTCGCTTTTTATTTTTTTGTAAACCAAAACAAATTTGATTCATTATTCATATCTATTTCTGTTTAACAGCAATATTATAAAAGTTCTGCATCATGCCCAGTAGCACGTCTTTGCTGGAGACCGACGAGGGAGAGTCCGAGGTCCCACCGCCGCTAGTGCACGCTTTCGCCGGTATGGGCCTTGACGAGCACCACGGCACCCAGAGCCAAACCCCCGAACAAGGAGATGAAAGCCTCTCCTTTCACCACCTCCACCAACTGCCCCCGGTTTCTCACTTCAGCCTCCTCGGTACGGTGCTAGACTTGAAGCCGCTGCCTCTGCATCGGCCGCCCTCTGGAGATGAAGTGAACACAACGACGGTGCCCGAGGACGAAGAGCCGGAGGTTGTTGCCGCCGTCGATTCCTCGGGTTGCACCGGCAGTTCGTTGCTAGCGCAGGCCCACCGCCACCAACACCTCGCGTCGGGGCCGAGTGGCTCTGTGATGCCGTCCAGGATGGAGCCACCGCACGTCGAGACGGTATTGTTGTACAACGGAGATGAGCAGGATGATACTGGGGTCGGCGGCAGCGCCCTACCACCGGCTAGCAGCATGGCGATGCTGCCGTCCGGCGTGTACGGGGAGTCGGGCTATGAGGCCGAACCTTCGCTGTTGACTCGGCGAAAGAGCGTCAACACGACCGAGTGTGTGGCCGTGCCGAGCTCGGAGCACGTCGCGGAGATTGTGGGCAGACAGGGTGAGTCGTTGTCTGATGGATCTTTTTGGTTGGATTCATAAGCTAAAGTTGCTAATGGGAGTTGAGATGAAACTTGGTGGGAAGATAGCTCGGGCAGCAGTAAAGTATCAAGCTAAGATGTTAACGAGAATAAAAACAGGGCAGCAAATATATCGAACTAATCAAATTATCATGACATTATGTTAGAATATTAGCAAAACAAAAGTTTCGACAAAACATGTTGCTTAACTGTAGTTTATTTTGTTAGAAGCAACGTTAGCTAATTGGTAACTTATTGTTGTCAACCGCAGTAGCACTAACGAGTGCCCGCTATTTTACATAGGATAATGGTTTTAGTAAGTTTTAGTATTTTCGTATAGGACATCTGACTGGTTATGTATAGTTTGCGCATGAAATTATCTGTAATTAAACCAAACTATCATTTAGCATCTTCAGCCACAATAGTTAACGTTAGCTTGAAACCAGCTAGCTTAGCACTCCTAACTGGGTCAACACCACCCTCGCCCAACACCCTCTACAAAAGTTTACATCACAAGTTTTATATCAACCAGCAGACCTCTCTGTGCTCTCTCGCTTTGAGAGCTCGTCTATATTACGGATGTTTTGTCTGTGCTTCGCTGACAGTAAGCATGTCCTCACTCAGCCGTGCCTTGTCGTGCTGAACCAGGCTCGGCTTTGTCTCGGAGGAGAACATGAAGAGCAGTGTGGTGGTCACCATTGCTTTGCCACATCAGCTGTAGGTTATAGTTAGCTCCGTGACATACCCAAGACGTCCGAGTTCAACCAAACGCGACTGGCTTTTCTAAGATATCCACCGACTTTGTGTGATTTTGTACATTAACTTTATATAACTTAATGGTGTAGGGTTGGGAGAGTGTTATTATGTAGGGTTTCAGACCAGTTGGGGGAGGGTGCAAAGACTGCAGTGTTGACAACAACAGGAAATGGCTCTGGTAATGATGTTGGACTCTCAACCACAGCTGAAAGGAATATTTAATTTATAAGCTATGCAACTTTTAAATGGCATTAGTGATTGGAAACTTAAACTGCATGTGCAGTTATCTTTTATTAGTTCAATTTGATGATATTGACTTTCAGAGTTAAATATTATGTGTATGTAATGTGGTCAATTTTAAATTGAAAATAATCAAACTTTCCCCTGTATGTCCATGTATCGCTTTAACTTTCCAGGCTGTAAGATTAAGGCACTTCGAGCCAAGACCAACACCTACATTAAGACACCAGTGAGGGGTGAGCAGCCTGTCTTTGTTGTGACAGGGCGCAAAGAAGACGTGGCCATGGCAAAGAGGGAGATCCTGTCTGCAGCAGAGCACTTCTCCCTCATCAGAGCATCTCGAAACAAGACGGGCCCTCTGGCCGCTGTAACTGGTCCAGGGACACCCACTCTACCTGGACAGACAACCATTCAGGTCAGCAAACCTGTGATTATGAGTCACAGTGTCGTTCGGTGTAAAGACGTGACACAGACATTCTTATGAAGTGAATCACATAAAGAGTAGTGTATATTACCATCCGGGCACATTGGTTTTATAAAGGACAGCTCTCAGTTTTTTTGTTCTTGATTATGTTTATCATTATTATCATTATCAAGTGTGTATAGTTACCCCGTGTCATTTCAACCCTACAGGTGCGGGTGCCCTATCGTGTTGTTGGGCTGGTTGTGGGTCCCAAAGGTGGGTCTTTAATTCATTCTATATTCAGATAAATGTTTGCTCCAGTTGTGGGACTTCCTGTGATAAAGAGTATTCATAAGGTTTTTGCTTTGGAATTTGTTATAATATTGATTTTTTTTGAATGGAAAAACAAGATTGTGCAATGTTAGCAAAGACAAGTATGGAGAGGTGTATACCAACATACACTAGAGCAGCCAAATTCTAATTTAAGACAAATGATGTGTTTCATAACAGCAGAACAAGTCTCACACTGATAATTAAGGTGGTGGTGAAATCAGGCTCAACATGCAGAGTGACACTGTATTTTGGCACTTATATATTTAGTTATATTAAGTTATTAGATTTGTTTTACATGGAAGGAAGGAAGCAACATGATGAGTATTTACAATAAGACTATATTCTAAATGTCAGGTGTAGGGTCAGGGAAAGTCAACTCCCAAAAAGTAATTTTGTTAGTAATTTTTTATTATGAAAGTAATACTCTGCTTTGTTTCTGATTAATGAAACGCATACTGTAATGTAGTCTAATGGATTCCCTACAGTGTCCAGTGTTGCTTATAGCTTCTAAGAGAGTTTTAATATGTTTAGCTCTTACTAGAAGGTTACATTTTGCTCTCACTGAGTCTTTAACCCATTGCCCTGTTGACATTACCACCTCAGTGTCAGAAAGCCTTGTGGTTGATTTGTAAATTGAACTGCAGCGGTTCTCAACCATGTGCTATTAGGCTGGATGGGGGGAGGTGACGATTCAAAATCACAACAAATCTGAAAATAGTGAGGAAACGCTGTGCCACACACAGAAGCCAGAGGCAGGGTGGAATTTTAATATTCTGTATTCATTGTTTACAAGCATTGAAATAAAATGCATCTGATAATTGTGGCACATTAATTGCTTTTGTTTCAATGCTTTTATTATTAAATTTTTACCATTGAGCCATATGTCAAAAGGAAATGTAACGCATCTATTCTTCTAATATAAAGTGTTGACTTTCGAAAAGATTCCTACTGTAGATGGAAACACATAGTGTTATGGTTGGGTAGTATGTGCTTTAGCCAGCTGAGTCACCAGGATAGCCCGCAGTTTAGTACTATAATTATTGCACAGCTGTGTTTCTTCTGATTTCAATGTCAGATTTTACTGTTAGAAAAACAACTATTTTGTCAGCTTGTACTTGACAAAATAGCCCAAACTGCAGTTCTTTTTTTCAGATTTTCTCCAGCTAATGTATTAAGCTCTATTAACACTTAACTATTCTTTTCCTTTTGACACTTATATTCTTTCTCTTCCATGTGCTCAGATGTATATTTTTCAGGAATGGTCACGTATATAAAACAAATTTTAATGGTGCACTCTTAACACTGATGTAACTGTGTGACTAGAACAGTTATTTAAACTCTTAAACTTGTTGTTTATTAGTGGATCTTGGTCTGGTCATATCTTTCAGGTGCAACCATCAAACGCATTCAGCAACAGACTCACACCTACATTGTGACGCCAAGTCGAGACAAAGAGCCTGTGTTCGAGGTCACCGGGATGCCGGAGAATGTGGACCGAGCGAGGGAGGAGATAGAGGCACACATCGCCCTCCGCACTGGAACCTGTGGGGGTATTGAGGCTCCAGGTGTAGACAACAATGACTTTCAATTCAACGGGACAGACGTCAGCTTTGAGAGTTCTGCAACACCAGTTGGGTTGGGGAAGGCTGGGTGGCTTCATGCAGGTGCATCATCACCAGGTGGTAGTGGCGGCTTGCTGCCCATGAGCATCAATGGTACTAAGCGAATCAATAGCAATATTAACAATGGTGTCAGGATGTCTTCCACCTACCGCAACGACAGCTCCAGTTCCCTTGGCAGCGGCTCCAGCTCAGCTGATTCTTTCTACGGCAGCGGGAATGGTAACAGGATGGCAGATTTCAGCCCGACCTGTCCGTTCAATGCCAATGCTAACAACAACAACAACATTAATGCTGGCAGTACAACTTTATGGTTTGGTGAGAGTCTTCTTCCTGTGGGGTCCGAGGAGCTGGTCAGCCTGGGAGGTGGAGGCTCCTCCTCAGGATTTGACCCACTAACCATCTCCACTGCCCAAGCCTCACACCCTGCTGCACAGCCACACATCTGGAGCCCCTTTGTGGACCACCAACCCCTCCAGGCCCTCGATGTTCTTCAGTCTCAGGTAGGTGAAATTCAACAGGAGCATACAGTTTATGGCCTCCTGTGCAGACATTAAAGGATGATCCGACAGTTAAAAAAGTCTTTTATCCTTTATCGTAGATGGTATCCTTTGGATGTTTGGTATGAAAATTCAAGCATTACTACACCAATAGATTGTCTCATATATAAGCAATGTGTTAATTGTTTTAATAATAGATTGTGTAATCTGAGAATCAGCAGAACACTACCTGATTGGCATGCGCTTCTGTGTCACAGTTACTTATACACAGAAAAAAACTAAAGTCTTTTAAATATTCGTTGTAACAAGAAACATTTCAGTCATGAGTCATAAACGAGATGTTTTAAGATGCTACGTTTCTTATGCTCGTAGTCATAGTCTAATGACTATTGTCATCAATTTTTCCAGACTAGTCAGCCTGGGACTCCCCGGCTCTCTCCAACCTTCCCTGGGACAGAAGCCTTGGAGCACCCTCAGGCCCAGCGTGTTCACCGAGGGCCTTTTGGCTCAGCTGGGACCCTTGATGCCCACAGGTTCCCCTCCTATGGCTCGGCCTTCTCCTCTTCCAGTGAAAGCACCGCCTCCTCCTCTTCCCCTCCTGAATCCTCCCTCTCCTATCGACCAGGGCTCGGATCAGCAGCAGGGAGAGGACAGGAGATATGTATCCACTGTATGGATAACCAGGTGATCGCTGCCTTGGTTCCCTGTGGCCATAACCTCTTCTGTCTAGATTGTGCCACCCAGATCTGCCAGGGTCCAGAAGCTGTGTGCCCTGTGTGCCTGTCCCAGGTCACACAGGCCATTCAGCTCCGTAACATGTGATTTTAATCCATTTACCTTGACGCCAGGTGAGGGATCGGCCTCCCCAACACTTCCAACTCATAATATGTGTGGGGAAATTACAAAACTGACCCCGAATCAGTGTCTCACCCAGTTGTGTCCTCACCCAGGTTTTGTCCAAGCTGGTGTTGACAAAAGTGAGGAAGAATAGGTGAATAAGGAATGATCTGTATTTAGGGTATGGGTTAGGGTCTACAGCCCATTCACATGCCTGCTATTGTGAAGTCTTCTTCCTTGATTGATAGATCAATGGGAGGGTAAAAAGCCCTCTATGTAGCATCAGGTGGGGTGGGATATATATATATATTTTTTTCTCATCATGATTTTTGATTTACATTTCCTTCTCCCTGAAACATCTAATTATCAGTTTTTGCCTACCTATATTTTATTTCATTTTTTAAATGTTCTTGAACTCTATTAGAACTCTGTTGAACTCCATCAGATTCAAAATATTGACTGTTAGGGTCAGTTTTTTTTTTTTTTTTTTTTAAATGTCTACATCTCAAAAGTTTTTTTTAAACTTTTGCTGCTACAGTTGTTTTATGTGCTGAAATATGGCCCAGCCCCTTTGCCTCTCAATTATTGTGCTCATGACAGGAAACTGAGGAAAAAGGAAGAGGTGAGCATGTTTACAAATAGTGAGTCCAACATATGAATATGTATACATTAATAGTATTCTCCTTGTTACCACAGCATTTGAATGCCTATCACAGTAAACTGGATATGAACACATGCTACATTATCCTGGCAAATGCCACTCTGTCCCAGACAATTTGCATAATTTAACTACTTTAAACAGGATACAATGTTTACATGCTCACAATCATAAATCAGAATTTTTATTATTACTGATTACTGATATCAACAGTATATTGATACACATGCAAACACAACCACAGAGAGTTTTTAAACCAAGTGGGTCAAACCCACACCTGCAAAGTTGTCACTCCCCAGTGGCAACCTCTTGTTGCCACAGGTTTCTTTCTCTCCAGACTGGAACCAGCAAGTGAGTAACTCCTTTTTGTAGAATACCAGGATGTTGCACCACTTCAGTACCGCCACGTTGCTTTCAATTTCTACTTAAAAAAATGTTTACTGTAAACTTGTGCCTAATTCCGTTCTGAGTAAACAAAAAGAAACAACTGGTTCAGCGGACACACGGTGTTGCTCTGTCTTAAAACAAACTTGTGGCCTTTTTTAGAAAGCCTGTAATTAACTAACAACACTATCTACAAATCCAGATCTTGGCTCGAAAGAACACAAGCTGACAGACTGAAGTCTTAATGTATTTCTTCAATCTCTTAAATGCATCTTGGTGGAACAAAGATTATATCACAGGGATGCTTTCTTTTGCTTCCTATTTTGTTGAGCCTTTCACAAGTATTTAACACCTACTGCTTTATCTTTTTAACACTGAACACTCCCATTTTCATACTTTTTCCCTCTTATTGTTTTTTCATTTTTGCCTTTTTGTTTAAATCGATTTACACATGGTTTGGGAAACCATGTGCTGGGTTTCAGCCAGAAAGATATGCACAGCCTGTACCTTTTGGTAACATTCCTCCTCCCCTGTATTGCAGTCACTTTTGGAGATGGTATAAGTTAAATTAATACTTGATCCTCACCTGGGAGCCAAAAGAGCTGATATTCTATGAAATGATACTATGAAGACAGATGTAATCTGGAACAAATCCCCGTACTGTACAGACAGACAGCTGACATTTCAGCCATCTCAATAGTATCCTTTTTCTTTCACTTGAATGTTCTTTCACTTGGACTGCTCCACCCTGTGGCCATCTCGTCACAGCCATTTTGTGTCCTTGTTGGTAAGCAGTCAGCAAAATAATTCCATTGGGATGCACAATTGAGATGGCGCCACCTCAATCACTTAACTTGTTATTTAGTCCCATATTTCATTTACCAGGCCTATGCAAAAATCGTCTCAGTATGGTAACTACTAGAGGAAGCACTAGATAAATTAAACTCCTCGGGTTTTATTTACAGAGCTCAAACAATCTTGGACTTAAACTTGTAGACAGATATATATCCCTTCAGTTTTTTCTACTACATTTCAGTCGGGGTTAACCTTCATTACCTGCTTTAATGCACTGATGAGATGTTTGGTACACAGTTTGCTTCTTGTGTTTCATCAGTTCTTTTGCTTTTGTCCTGTGCCCAAATAAGCACAGCCTTCCCCACTTCTTATCACACTATTGACTGGCTGGGACTCCAAACACATTTGGATTTTGGTTTTTCTTTCCTTAAACGTGTGCATCTGTCCACTCCTCTTCCTGAAAAGTGAAGAAAAGGTACAAATTGGTGGAAATCATCTCAAATCTTAGCTTTAAACACCAGTGTTTCTCTAGACTTTGTTTTACAGGATTGACTGAGTTAATGGACATTTCAAAGGGGAAGCAGCTGGAATGATTTAATCTTGGACTGTGCTGACACTACATAAGGTCAATACTATTGCTTTACCGTGTGGACTTTGGACCACAGTCCTTCTAGCATTCCAGCTGTAAACAGTATTTGGGAGTTATTTCATCGCTTAGCTCTGTTTCTTAAATATCTTCTCTTACATGGATGATTGAGCTTTCTTGGGGAAATGGAACCAAATGAGTCCCAAAAGTGCAAAAAACCCATCTGCTTCTGCTCCCTCGGGTCTTCTATCCGTCCTTTTATTTTACTTCTCTTAGCTCTACAAAGGGCCGATCTCTCTTTTTGCTCTCTTTCTCTTTGAGGGAATGCAATACCCTGTCGGCCCTGAGTTTGACATGAATCTATTGACATTTTTGTGTATGTATTATATAATATTACTGTTAATGACTGATAAATATACAGAACTTATTTTTATTTTGTTACATTTCATATATATACATAAATATATCTATATTAAAATGTTTACAGTAAGATTTTTTAATTTTTTTTTACTTTTCTCTGAGTGATTAAGTGAAGAGTTGGAAACCCAGAAATGTTGCAGGAGAGTGTCAATGCTATCTGCTTGTAGTCTAGTTATTAGTTTACAGTATTGATGATAATAGTATTGATAGCTGCAGTTTAACCTAGTGGAAAATGGAATGTGCATCGCGAGCATGTCTTCATAATGTACCGCCAATGTAAAACGTCACACTGCAACTGTAAAAAGGCCAAGGATTCAAGCTGCCTGTCACGTCTGTACGCCACCAAATTAAGAACGGTATACTGTAAAATGTATCTTAGTTTATCTATGTATAAATACATATATTGTTAAGCTGTACCAACAGTTCAAAGTATTTGCTAATTTTACTACACTTTTGTTATGTATATGTGGGGGGAGTCTTATGGCATATAAATTCTTCAAATTGAGTCAGGAGTTTAAAAGCAGACTATATTTTATAATGGCCTTTTAAGTTATTGCGGCCAAAGCACTGATATTATATATTTGCTGTAAAGAGAATTTAAGAGTTTTATTTTTCTGATATTAAAGTTACTTAATAAAGACTTTCATTTAAAGCCATGTCTGACTACTGTTATTGATTATGTAGTGCTTTAAGGTCTGTACTTTAACAACATGCAGAATATTTAAGATGTAATTTACAACATGAGAATTTCCTCTCACTTGTTTTGACATGTTTGACTAATAAAAACCAACTCCATACTTAGGACCCACGCATGAGCCTATGAGAGCCCTGTAGGACTTGCAGATTTATCAGCATTTTACGAACATTTGATTGTTGTTTTCTTTTTTTTTTTGGAAATAGCTCTTACCACCAGAAAAAGTCCCTGTAGCCAAGAAGTACCTTTGTAATTCGCAGTGAACTACTGTGTTCATGTTCGCAGTACAGAACAGTTTTAAACAATGATACAAGGTGCAGCGCTAACCATGCTGTGTGGTTAGGAGTGAAATAATTTCACCTTCTGATTGCATTAGGAAAAGCACAGGTATTACTAATAATGGCTCCACTGTAAGCCATGGTAGTGAACCAGGACCCTCAAACTGAAGCAGCTAAAAGTTGACTGAAGAGATTTGTAACTATTTTATAAAATGTACATCGCTGCAGAGTAAGCTACCCTGCCGAACATAAAGTAGTTACATTTAGTGCAACCTTGAACAACATGTTTTTCTGCATAAAGAGTAGTTTTACTTTAAGAGTATTTTAATTACATCTTCCACCACTGGCTGTTACTTGTTTTTAATTCAATGTGATATTATTAAAACTGGGGGATTGTTTGGCTCTCATTGTACAGGAAAAAGCATCAGGTCAAAGACTGCTCAGATAGACTGATAAGCACCCACCCACACAGGTGATTATACCTGTCAGGCCAGTGTGAGCATGTATTATTCATATAGACCTTTTTCACAGCAGACATTTTAACGTGTCATAGCAGGAAAAGAAAAGATTTATGGCTCAGTTGCCAGTAAACTATTCCAGTGAGCCAGCAGTAAAATCTGGGTTTCTGCAATGCTCCCAAGGTTTAAATTTAAGACTTAAACACCTTCCTAATACCACTGACTGAAATTTAACGTCTGTTCTGGGTGACAGGCAGAAAAATGATGGATTAATTAATAAACTAATTAATTAATCTTTGACATGTCTATTATGAGTGCATGGGCTTATTAGCTACTGCAGCTTGCAGTAGTGATAGTGTTGCAGGAGAATCACTTGATGTTTATTGGTGTATAATGTCTCCTGTTACTGTCTACAGCAAACTAGAATAAAAATATTCAAGACGTTTGTAACCAACTTTTGAAGGAACTCATTTTAATGTTTTAAGACTTTTGAAGACCTGCAGCTACCTGATAATACCATGACCTTCACCAAGTGGAATGCAGACATCATTTATGTTATTAAATACACCTGTGCTTCTCCTGCTATGACACGAATGTCCGCTGTGAAACAGGCCTGCTTGTAATTCCCAACTTCAACCTGAGCAGAGGAGCAATCAGAATAACTGAAAACACATTTGTGTGATTTATTTCACCTTTGCAAACATGTTACCTTGTTGAGAAAATGAACACCACATAGAGAATATCAGGCCATGTTTAATTATAGACTCTCACATAAGAAATACAGGTAAAATTTATATCTGCAATCTGTCATAGTATTCAACATCAACTCATTCGAGCTGTGTCTTTAGGCTCCTATAATAACTGCACGTAATATAAAAACATCTGTCCACTTTAGAGCATAACAGATTATTTCTCCAGACAGAATTCAGCATCAGTTCTTTCAGTAACATAATTAGAAAATATCCTGTTTCCTGCCTTTCAATCAATCCAATGCATAAGTATGTGAATAATCCCAATGTTTGATTCTTAATCCCTGATGTAGGACAAAACCTTTTTGACAGTGCTTTCAAATTATAGTGAAATAATCAAAGATGGGACAGAGAGGAGACAAAGCAACCCTCTGCCTAGTTTTGCTTAGTCAACTGGACACCAAAGTGGATCATTTCCTTTGACTAAAAGACCCCTTGAACAAAATCCAATTAGTATTTTGACGTTTCATCTGTTTCACCAGAACAGCTTTGTGGAAAAAAAAAAAAAAAAAAAAAACCTGTATAGGGACAAAAGCACAAACTGATTAAAAAAGGCGTGAACAGATGTTTGTGAGTCTCAACACGAGAATAAATGAAATTCATATTCCTAAAGCAATGTGTCTAATCTATAAGAAAAGCCTTTGAAAACAGTGTAACAGAGGGTATCACGTGCAGCGTGGGGAAGAGGAGAAGAGGGCACTCATGCTGAAATCAAATTATTTCTGTGCATCACATTACCTTCACCTGTTTCAACACCAGCAAAAGAGAAAATATCATGCTTGTACTGATTTTACTTTTGAAGAGGCTGATCACTATTAACTGAAGGAGTTTCTGTATTTGTCTTGGGAGACAATTTCTTTTTAGGAGCTTGGCTGCTTAAAAGTTGAGATTATATAATTAAATTGGAGCATTTACAATCAATTATGACTTTGTAGCTTCCCTGCGTGCCTTTAATGCTGTTCTCATAAAACAGCAACACACTGTATACAGCTAACAGCTAACTCACCAGTATACAGCAGGTGCTACTTTCTGTACTCTTCATAGTCCAGTTTCCCTGTGTAATGCAGGGGAAGTGAAGTACTCAATTTCAAATAGGGGGCAGGAATAAAAAAGTCTATTTGCCAATAAAATTCATGCAAACATTGACATGCATTTCAAAAACAAAGATATTTACATGGATTAAAAAGAGAAAAAACTGCAAATGAAAAAGAAAAAGGTAACTCAGAAACGCCAAAAGAATCCCTACAGATGTGTGTAAATGTCTATAGAGTGAAAGGGCAAAAACAGATTTTTAAAAAGGTGTCTTAGTGTTACAGACGTTTTCAAAACAAATGCATCACAATGTTGCCTCTGCTCACAATCCTACATAAAATATACACCAACCTATTCACTCCCTTATTATTCATATCAACCAGGACAACCACCTCAAAAAAATAAGGGTTATTTAATTAAAATCAAGAGAAAAAGTAAAGTGCTAAAAATATAATACAATTAATAAAGGTAACAAAAATAAAACCAAGAAAATATATTGATATTGATGGGAAACTGTCTTAAATTCTCTCATCTTTGTCAGTAAACTATACACAAGAGACCTGGATCAAATAATACAAAAGTGGGCTGCAAGTCAAGTACAACGATTCTCAACTAATGTGTGGAGACTGTCGGGTGTGCTTGAAGATAAAACCCAATAAAACTGAAATGAATACAAAGAAAAATAATAACCATTAACATTCAATTAAAGAAACCTCCATATTAACGTAACTGGGGTAAAGTCCAGCAGCTGACTGGACTTCTCGCTCTCATGATCACACTAGACTAAAAAGTATGTTTTTGGTTTGCCAAAACACTGATAAACCCTGTGAGTAAATCTCAGACCAACTGTCTGCCCCTTCTCTGCTTTCTCTGAATCAGAAGCATCCCAGCTGTTTTCTTTTTTCTCCTCTCAGCAGGAAAGTGAGAAAGGCAAGAGGGAACTCACAGAGGGCGTATGAGATTCATCCTTTGTGGCAGCATAAAAGAGGGCCTTTTCCAAAACAGTAACCATACCTGAAACAGACGGTGGAAAGTGAGGAATGATCGCTTAAATGAGGATCTTGTCATCACTTGTTTTTTTGAGTGAGTAATAATAAAAACACAGTAAGTCAGTAAAGACAGTTATATTGTATCACCAACTTTGTATGTCATGATGTTATAACACCCCAAAAAAAATCTGCTTTAGTGTAGCTATGATGTGTAGAGAAGAACATTCTCAACCGAGTGCTTTGCTCCACATCCTGTCTAAGGAGGGGGTAAAAAAAAGATTGGTTAATGGACACCCACCAGGCACAGACCTGCAACTATCTTTTAAAGTTCAAACCCGTAGTTTGACAATACCTGACCTAGAAAAGTCCCTAGACTTAACCTCTTTCAGTTCAGAGGCTGAGTCGGCTTTAGGCATGGTTTGTGTCATTTCATTTTCTGTCAATGTCTGGTATGACCTAATCCAGTTGGGTGGTCCCCAACACTGTTTAGCTGCTGAGAGGGAGTGATCAGCATGACGTCGAGCAGTTGTCCTTGCAGTTCAGAGTGCTGCTGCTTTTCTATTCAGCCTGACAGTCAACTGAACTTGATCATCATCAGAAGTGTCAAGCAAAGAAGACTGACAACAGAAAACCAGCAGTACTCTGGAGCCCAGACACTTGATATGAGAGACTCTGTGTACAGCAACTCATCCTGCAGCTGCAACAACACTCAGATGTTCTTCTATTGTTCAGTGAATGTGATGCCTGTCACTAGTTGGTGGCTGTGGACTCTGGGATGCTGAGTAGTATCAGTGTACATTCCAGTTTCATGGGCTCTGCAGGTCATCTATGTGCATGTTGTGGTGCTATATAATTGTAGTTACTTGTGACATCTTTTTCTAGTCCTACAGTTCACTGTTCATCACAAATCAAAGCCATCGATCAAAAATATAGACCAATATATCTTTAATATATGGCTTTGGTGTTACTGGGTTTAGTGTTACTCTTGCTTAAAAAGCAAAAGCAGGGGCCACAGTGCACAAAGGTGCCTCAAACACACCTGAAAGTATTTTTTCATGTGCGACAGCTTCAGTGTCACAGCCTCACAGCTGGATTCTCCACCCAAAACAGTTCACTGAGGAAGACTATCCATTGCCACTGTATGTTGCAGTGTGATGCTGCAATTGTAATAATCTCAGTCCAGAGGTTGTGGGTCTGCTATAGGCATAGTGTGCAGAACCTCATCCAGTAACTGTAGAGCTCTGTGCAGGTGGATCTCGATCCAGCATGGGGTCTCCTTGATGCTCTGACGGGGGTAGTCGGGCCCCCAGCCCTTCACAAAACTCATCCTGAGGATACACAGCCTCCGGAGGTCATCTACCCCGATACCGGCGGCTGCTGACAGACCTGAGAGGACGGGAGGAGAGGGAACCACAACTACGTCAGTGTGATGCTGCATACAGTACGC